CAAGAATTGTGCCTTTTAAAGTTTACGAGCTAAAAATTGAAAGCGTTTTCACTCATTTGGATATATATTTCATTAGCGTACATCTATGGGTGATAATAAACAATTTCACTATATTTTGCCAAATTCATCAAAATTGTGCCATCTAGAGTGCTTACAAGCATAAAAGTTAACGTATTTCCAAGAACAAGGGCAATAACTCATACTAAATATTTTTTGTTCCATTTTCTGATATTCAATAGGGTTTATCCTTGGGTGATTACGAACACTCTCACCAAATTTTGTCAAAATCCGTCAAAACTTGTGTCTTGTAAAGTGTTTATGAGCAATTGTGGACGGACGGACATTGGTGACGGCAATAACAAACACAATGAAACACACAATCAGTATTATTGATAAACTTACATGTAGATATATTGAAATCATTGATTAAAGCTAATTATCAATTGGCCAGTCCTTGTGGTTCTTTTGTATTTTTTGCAAAGTTTAGTTTCCGAATAGCACACTGTCAAAAGCTTGATCTTAACCCAAGGCTGTGCAGCTAGGCTGCTTGTAGAAGACCTACTCAAATAGAACTTCTAGGCTACTAGTGCACCTATCGCCACCAGAACTGAGAAAGATTGCAGATACGAGTTACTTCTGTAATGCCTTGTTCACGTGATGAAACCTAACATTGAGTGTAAACGGGAGATTGGTTAAGGTTTATTTGTAAGAAGCTGAAACATAACAGCATTTTCATCTCTTGTATTCTTGAACTCTGGTACGTACCCTGATGCAATCATACCTATAAAAGGCTGAAAATTGAAAAATGAACAAGGATGTACAAAAACTGACAATGAAATAATAAATTGAAAATAATAAAATAGTCAAAGGCTTGAGAATGTAGATGATTCTAAGATCATGATGTAATGACACACTTAGCCTAATCATATAACCTAGCAGTAAGGGGTTTCTTTTAATAATTTCTTAAAAACAGATTTCAGTTTGACATTCCAGGCTTTGTTAACAAATTGCAATATCATTAATAGTAGGTGAAAACATTATAATATAGTGTCACATATGCATAGAATGACGGGGAAACTGGCCTGTAGGGGTCTATGCATAATTTCAAATTTGGCGCCATTGCTGGTTTTGTTTACATTTCAGGAAATGTTTTCACACAGCATAAAATCATATAAAATTGCGATAGAAATTATGAATCCTTTGATATTTTATATCACACGAGTCTCATCTCATATAATCAGGCATAATTTTACATTGTGTAACGCTGAACGTGAAAGATTGGATAAGTTTTAGAGAAAAGAATTTCTTGTGCAGTAGAAATAATTTTTTATTCTCATTAGACAGAAGAGTTCTACAGAAAGATAACTCTTGACATGACTGAGCTAAGTTTCAGACCACAAATACCAAGCATGTATAATGCGATAAAAATTGTAGCAAATGTAACAAATAGACATTAACGAATGACTAAAGAACAGAATCTCTATATAAGACAAAATATCCAAATTAAATAATTATTAAAACACGCTTCTAAACATGGTTAAATATTATCCTACTTATTGTATTCTTTGTCTTATGGATATATTACCTTTAAGGCTGTGTTTGATAAATACTTTAGAATCAACTGATTTACCTATATATAGTAAAAGCTAGAAAATGTCTGATCAAGTAGTTATTGTAAGATCATGTTGTGGTCCGTGTTCCAAATGAACCACAATGAGACCCGATGAGGGAGACTGTATTCTAAACCACCTCGGTGTTTAGGCTACTGATGCTAAAATGTTAAAACTTTACAGAGCTCGTTTAAGAAGTATTCGTTCATTCATTCATTTTATACGATATTATTATAAACAAGTCTAGATACTTATATTCTTATAAGCTTAGAGACAGACTTCACAATGTTCCTGAAAATTCCAATGTTTCTTGCAGTCTGTTAATTGGTTGGATTTGTCGAATATGGGTGTCAGAAAGACAGGTTATCCTATTAGTAAAGTAAATTCATTTCAATAGAGATATTTATTTACAAATACACTTTATACATTTACATTTCTTTATTCTAGTAAATTGACTTAATTAAGTCAAGAGACATTTATTATATTATATATCATATATACATGTCTCATGTCAGTGATGTTTTCAGATAAATATTACTAGATAGTCAATTTATGATTAAAATTATATTTGATCTAAATTTACACTGTCCTTATCCAATGTATGAAATATTTACAATTTATCAAATATAGACAATGTTTCAGATATTTACAAATTATCAGATATTTACAATAAATAAACCAAGTACTAACGATCCGAACCGCAAAACGAAACCCGAAATCCATATCAACCTTTTTGGCGAAACATTGGTAGCAGCTAATGAACTTTTCAAATGAGGAAGTATATCAATCATAAGTGAGGAAGTATTTCATAATGAAAAGTGATATCAGGTGTCTAGAAGAGTAAGCATACCCTGTCTGGCGAAATTATCAGAAATTTACAAATTATCAGTTATTAACATATTACCAGATATTTACAAATTATCAGATATTTACAAATTATCAGATATTTACCAATTATCAGATATTTACAAATTACCAGCAGATATTTACAATATATCAAGTATTGAAAAAAAATCATCGACATTTACAAGGTATTAATGTATCCAGTATTTATAATGTTTTCAGTATCTATAATATATCCAGTATTTACAATGTTTTCAGTATCTATAATATATCAAGTATTTACAATGTTTTCAGTATCTATAATATATCAAGTATTTACAATGTTTTCAGTATCTATAATGTATCAAGTATTTACAATGTTTTCAGTATCTATAATGCATCAAGTATTTACAATAGTTCCAGTATCTATAATGTATCAAGTATTTCCATTATTTCTGGTAGAGTCGGTCTATCAATAGCTTGAATTTTTGTACAAGAATTATATAATGGAAATAATTGATATACATTAGCACGTTTTATAATTTGTTTAAATAAAAAACCAAGACTATAAATATCTGATTGAGGTGTAGAGAAACATCCTTCTCTCACTTCCGGTGCATAGAATAGACACTCACCTAGACTTCCCGAACAGCCTTCAAATCGCATACCTTTCCTGAATGTTGCCATGCCAAAATCAATAAATCGAATGTCCAAAGTATTTAAGTCAACTAAAATATTATCTGATTTTAAATCATTGAACAGAATATGATTACAATGAATTTGGAATAAACTTTTACAAATATTTTTACAAATAATAATCCAAGCATCTGGTGGCAAATCATATTCCAGATAAATATCTTCTACATTACCATGACCGTAATATTCTTGAACTAGACTGTAATTTCTAGACTTTTTACGTGGTGTTAAAACACCAAGAAAATTGGGTGTTATATCTTGTCCTTTAAGGTATGATAATATCTGAGCTTCTCGTTCGATATCTTCCCAGCTTACACCATGATGATGAAATTCTTTGATGACAACTTTATTTTTTATGTTTTTCATACTGGCAAGATATACAACTCCAAAACTTCCTCTTCCTATTTCATTATATGAATTATCATCATTTATTTCATATCTTATATCGCTTCTTTTAATATCCTGAAGTACTATACTGTTTAAAGTTTCTGGTAAGTGACCTATATCAATGTATCCACAAGGAACAAATGGAGAATTCCGCGGATCGAATCCAAACATAGATAACATAGTAGAATTATCTAGGGAAAAATGACCAAAACTGTTTATAGTAACTAAGTTCCGAATATCAAACTCTTTTTCAAAACTACTATAGTCTTCATTGTTAATTGTGTCGTGTTCACACGAACTAGTATCGTTGTTACTGGAGTTAGCATAGTGAACATCAACGCTGGTATGATGAGATGAAATGATGTCCTGATTTTGCTGTAATGAAATACTGTGTTCATTTGCATCAGTTGGTGATAAAAAATGTTGATTTGAGCTGGAATCGTAATCAGAATCAATCGAATAGTAGTGTGCATATGAAGTGGAAGACTTATCGGGTGATTTGAAGGAAATATATTCTGACTTATCACTTTTATATGACCTGTTAGATTCATAAGATGATTTGAAGGAATAAAACTCTGATTCATCACTATTATATGATTCAAGGGTTTGATATGAACTGGTAGCTGAAAGGTCAGTAGAAGAATCTGTGATGGAGTAAAAATATTCTGGAGTATCAGCATTTGACTTGTCATGTGAGTAGTTATTGGTTGACGTGCTGTAAAAATCATCCTTGGCAGAATACCAATCCTCTGTATCTAGAGGAGTGTTGTATTTAATATTAACTGGATCAAATAAATCAGATGATGATCGAATATATTCTATTGACCTAGAGTTGGCAAATCTATCAACATCTTGTTTTAGTTGTTCAATAGATGCTTTCAATGATTCATGCATGCTATCCAAAGCATCTTTAAACTTTTGGAAGTTTACCATGATTTTATCTTCAGAAAACTGTTGTTGGCTTGATGTTCCATTGACTGAAACAGCGTGTAGGCCTGAATCTGGAGATCTCGAAGCATCACTTACTTCTGATGACGACGTCTGAATTGAAGTCGAAATTGTAGTGGCACTCACTTCAGTAGCTACTGGTATCCAGTTGTAGCTTGTCTGTGTTGCAGCTTCAGAATGGTTGGATAGTGTTACAGTTTGAGTCTCTGTTGATACAGATATACTACCAACCATTTGTGTTGAAGTGTCGAGCTGTTCGCAGATTGGCTCTGAATGGTAGGAGACAATCAGAAAACGGATTTTT